ACAGATCTATTATCGGCAAAAGAGCATCGCATCTTGTTTGAACAGCTTGATAGGTGGGAACCAGATCTTGTGTGTTTGGAGCCTCCTTGTGGGCCTTGGTCTCCATTACAAAATCTCAACGATCAGCAAGTGGTGGATTTCAAGCGCAGTTTGCACATGCCATTTTGGGATTTAGCAGCTCGTGTTTGGAAGAAACAAGATAGTGCTGGCCGTCTAGTCTTGCTGGAACAACCCTTGTTGAGTGCTGCTTTGAAGCTAGAGTGCATGCAGTCTCGTTCACATGTTCATCGTGCAGTGGTTGACCAATGTCGTTTTGGGCTGAAAGATCCTCAATCCGGTCTCTTGTACCGGCAACGCACTGCCCTGGATGTGAACACCGAGATCTTTGCCGCGGCTCTGATGCGCAATGGCCGCTGCTGTCATGCACCGCACGAACACCAATCCATAGAGGGCCAAACTACACTGGACGGCCGATCCGTGAGCCGTTCGTTAGTGGCAGGCACTTGGACTTCTCATTTTGGGAAGCATATCTTGGCATGTGCTGCGCTGGCATTGGAACATGCTGCGTGTTGGGTCCAAAGCGTGGACGGCATCCGCGCCTTTGTGTCCGTCCCCGAGAATGTGCACGAGGAGCCGGTGGAGTTCTTCTTAGAGGAGCGCTATGGTGATTCCGTGTGTGGGGGTTGCTATGACTTCAGTACCTTGTGGTGCTCTAGGTGTGGCCAAGGCTGGCGCTCCTCTTGTGAGAAGGGTCATGCTTGCTTCCTCACGGACGTGGTGAGACAAACGGATGAGCACTTAGCCTATGCACTCACTGAGGAAACGGAAGAAGCCATTTTGGAGGACGAGACCGCCCCGCCGCTAGTCAAGGCAGATGTGGAGGTGAATCGCCTGTTCCGCCAACTTCAACAGAAAGAGGATGAGCGAAAAGGTGACTTTGGTGGGATTGGCAGCCGCTATGGCTATGTGTCGTTTGGGGGGGGTGAGCCTCCGGATCAACAAGGCCATTCGCAATCAGGTCGCTAAGTTGCACGGGACCTTGGGACACCCCTCAAATGAACGCCTGGCTAGGATGTTGCATCTTCAAGGGGCCAAGAAGGAAGTGGTGCAGGCAGCTCGTGACCTCCGGTGTGAAGTATGTGCACGGGTGCATCCACCGCAGTCGGCACCACAATCAACAGCCACGAATCCAGAGCGGTTCAACGCCCATGTGTCTGGTGATTCCTTCTTCTTCCTCAATGCCAATGGTGAGCGCTGGAGTGTGACGCATTTGGTGGATGGGTTCTGCTCTTTACACACAGCACTTCTGTCAAAGAATCCCGCCGCCAAGCATAGCTGTGAGCTTTTGTTTGAACGGTGGGTGCTGGTGTACGGACCCATGAAGAAGTTGTCTGTTGACGGCGGACCTGAATTCCGAGGTCAATTCGGCTCACTTTGTCAGCTCTATGACATTCACCTTGACATCCTGCCGCCTGGGGCCAAATGGAAGAATGGATTAGCCGAGCGCCACGGGGGCCTGTTGAAATTGATGATGCTGAAGGTGGTGCATGAGCTGGTGTTGACTAGTGAGACAGATCTCCGCTATGCCCTGGCTATGTGCGTGCAAGCAAAGAACCGGCTCATGCGACGGTGCGGCAAATCACCGATACAGGTGGTTCAAGGACGAGATGAACCTCTTCCTTCTTCCTTGGTGGCTCAAATCGATCGTGGTGACATCAAACACGGGACCAACAGCCGTATCCTGGAGAGTGAGGAGCAGGGTCACATGGAGCGCATACGCCAAGAGGCCGCAGCAGCTTTCCACTGGCTGGATGCTCATGAACGCATTCGGATGGCGTTGCACAGTCGATCCAGGCCACCTCATCTTCGTGCCGATGCACTAGTCCCCGGAACGGTGGTGTACTTCTTCAAGCAACCGGGACAATACCGACGGATGCAGGACTTCGCCACCGTTGTGGCTTGTGCTGATGGGCCCACGAAGCTATGGGTCAGATACAAGGGATCTGTGGTGCGTGTGCCCATTGAGAATGTGCGATTGGCCACCCCTGAGGAGGAGATGAGCACTAGCTACATCCTTGATGCCATGAAGACCTTGGAGGAGGAGCTCACAGGACAACGTCGTGCTCCTGGCTATGAAGAAGAAGAAGAACCTCCGGTCGAGGACCAACGACAGCCGGTGCTACCACCACCATCCGGGCCCCCTGTTATATCTCCTGTTCCGGCTTCTGGTGGGACCCCGCCCGAGACTGTCGATGAGGAGGGCACGGATGCGGCCGGGCCCCAGGAGTCAGGACAAGGAGAGGGGGTTCAAGGGTCGTTGATTCCTGAACCCAGCGTGGAGGTGGTGACCTTAGCCCGGCAGTCAGCTGATCGATGTCGTATGTTAGATGGACTTTCTCCTCGGTTCCGTTCAGGTCCTTATGACGATGTGCACAGGGCGTCTGTGCCAAAGAAGATCACCTTCTTCGAACAAGGAGGAAAGGAGGACACCTGGCAAGAGATCTTGAATGACACCACGAATCAACTGTCTTCAGGGTCTGGACTACAGCGCCTTGGAGCGGAGACCTTGTGGCGTCAACTTCATGATGGTGTCACGGATGCGACCCAACAATGTGTCCGTGAACGGGATGAAGGGGGAGAAGCGCCATTGAAGACGCCTCGACTATCCCAAGAAGTTCCTTCTGAACCAGGTTCATCCAGCTTGGCCCCACTTGTCGCTGAAGTCAAGATGGAGTTGGAAAAGTGGGCCTTGAGCTCATCGACCTCCGTGGAAGAAACAAACCGTATGAAGGCCATGATGGATGACTTTGAGAAGGAAGCTGCACAGTTAGAACGAGAGCGTGGTCATCGCGCGGGCCCTGATCCTGGCCCACGAGGTGAAATCTATTGGAGGGACATGACACCCACAGAGCAGCGATTAACGGTCCCTGCATTGATCAAGGCACTGGACATTCACTTTCAGTATGCTGCAGTAGAACCGGTCAAGCTGGATCAGATTGTGGCCAAGGACACCACGCTGCAGAGCCGTTTTGTGATTGTCAACAAGAAGTGGCTTCAACGTGCTTTTGGGCCCAAAGGTCGCTTGTGTGTTGGAGGTCATCTGGATCCTCAAGCTGGCGAATATGAGACCTCCTCGCCGACTGCTCAGCTCCTTGGTCATCATCTTCTTTTGGTCATCACTGTGGCTAAACGATGGAGGGGCCGGGGTGGAGACATCACAGCAGCCTTTTTGCAAGGGGAACCCTTACCCCGGGAAAAGCCGCTCTACATTTGGTTCCCTCGGAAGTTGCCAAGTGAAGTACAACAGTACTTGAATGACAAGCTGAAGGGGTTCCGCACCGACATGGTGAAGGTGGTGAAGGGAGTGTTTGGTCTCAACGAATCCCCTCGGTTGTGGTACTTGGGTCTTCGTCGTCATTTGGTAGAACTGGGCTTCCGAGAAATGAAACTAGCACCTTGTGTTTTCACCTTGCACATCGGTGGCAACTTGGAAGCTATGGCCACCGTGCACGTAGATGATGTCTTGGTTGCTGGTAGCCAACAGACTGATGCAGTGTGGCAAGAGCTGCAACAGCGTTTGACCTTTGGGAGCTTGGACGGACATGATGACCGGATTCAAGCTTTTGGGTCGCTTTATCACACAGGATGAGCACAGCTTTGAGATCACCACCTCCATGAGTGAGTACTGTAATGATCTGCAGGAAGTGACCTTGGAGAAAACCATGGCCGATGATCGACCTATGACTCCGGATGAAGTTAGCTCCTTGCGAACCATTGTAGGCAAGTTGAGCTGGGCTGCTAGACAGGGTCGACCCGACGTTTTGTTTGGAGTCTCATTTTTGCAGCAGAGCATGAAGGCTCCAACGATCAAACTTTTCAAATTAGCCAATGCAATTGTGCGAGTCCTGAGACAGGATTTGCCTCTTCGTTTTGTTGATCTTGGCTGTGATCTTTCAGAAGTGCTCCTGGTGATTTCTTCAGATGGAGCTTACGGCATTATGCCGGAGGGCAAATCACAGCAAGGGTGGTTGGTGGGGTTGGCACATCCTAGAATCAAGGAGGGCGCTGCCAAAATGAATTTGATTGAGTGGCAGAGCACAGCTTGCAAGCGTGTGGTGCGCTCTTCGATGGCCATTGAGGCCAGTGCTGCGTCTTTAGCCTACGAACATGGAGAGTATGTTCGTGCCCTTTTTGGTGAGATCATGTTGGACAACTTTGCCATCAAACGATGGGGGCACTTTGTCCGCCTGTGGGAGATGCTACTTGTCTTGGATGCCAAAACGGCCTTCGACACGTTGAAGTCTGACTCATTGCCCCAGGACAGGAGAACTGCCTTGGACCTGTTGGCTTTGAAAGAGTCCTTGCTTGATGACACGAGCAACTCCTTTTGCAGGTGGGTCCCTGGGCCCCAGCAGTTGGCTGATGGTTTGACAAAAGAGAAGGGGAACAAGATGCTCTCTGAGTTCCTCATGACCAATGAATGGTCGTTGAAGGAGGACGTCATGTGGCAGGAACAAAGAGCAAAGCAGCGCGAGAACCAGCGCAACTACAAGGCGAAGTGGAAAGCTGAGCGAGCCAAGAGAGCCGCCCTGGGGGAGGTGCCGGGTGAGTCAAACTGACTCTTCTGGCATGTTCGATTGTCACTTTGAGCTTGTCCACTAGCCACCTACCTTCTCGAGCCTGTGTATCGTGAAAAGGGTCGCATGGGTCTTTGCTCCGGGCCACCACTTTAAGTGAATCAAGAATTATCACGATATACTACTATATACTTCGGTGATCGACGAGTGTTGTATATGACGACTTTGCTCACCATTAGCCAGGAGGTTCTTGGCCAGGGTACCGGGTACCCCATCATCACCCTGTCCGTCTCTTCATCTTTGCTACCCAAAGTACGTTTGAAATTGGAACGCCATGGTGTGGGCAGCTGGCTCTAAAGCAAGGAATTACCACATGCTGTCCAGTCTTCAATCTTCCTTACCCGGCGAGAAAGGACAAGTGACAAGTCTCGACCGCTTTCAGACACGCCCAACAGCCTATCCACGGCCTCTGGAGCAAGAAGCAGGCTTGACAATGAATTTATATAGTGAGCCATTTGTTGAGACTTTGACATGTTTTGTTTTTTAATACTTGTTCCTGTTATTTCTTGTTAGGTGCAGTATCCTTAGCCCAGCCTGCTCCACATCTGTGAGACATCTGTCCCGGGAGAGGTCGCGCTCCTCATGAAAACAAACAGCAAACGGCAGGTCCATTTCATCCAAAAGGAACACTAACCTTTGAATTGTAGTCCTCCAGGCAAGGCCTTTTGCTCGGAGCACTGGCGCAACTCCTTCAGATGACAAGGCTTTTGCAGTCAGTGGTCAGAAAGGCACTTGTCACTGAGGTCGCCTTCTTCGTTTTGCATCTCCACCTGCATCAATTCAAATGGGCCCAAGCACCTTCTTCTCGGTTTCTTGGCCAAAATGAGAGTCTCAGGATGCGGCCAGGATCCATTCTTAGTTCTTTCAATGCAACAAAAACTACTCGCTGGTGGCAGTGCCTATGTTTTGTCTATGCGCTGATGGCTTGCCAAGTTCAAATAGAAACTGATTGACATTGATATTGGTTGAGGAGTGTATGTTGTTTGACGCTCCTTCTTGCTTTGTCCTGGAGTAGAACAAGTTGAGCTTCCAGTGGCTAAAATCAGTCTTTTCAGAATTGAACAACGTCTTCCTGTACAATCATGCTTGGTTGCTCTACATCGGCCTTTTTCAATAGCTCGGGAAAACTGTAACATTCGCGGTTCGCGATATTTCACAATACTGCCTTCGTGGATCTGGCTCGCAGTGAAAGCGTTCTCCTCATTCTCGATCTCAAGAATCTTGAGTTTCATGTCGGGAAGTGGAAGATCTGCAGAGTGAGTCTATTGTGGAAGGACTAGCTCTATACTTTGACGGAGATCAGCACTGGATGAACCTATGTGGAGGGTTGCCCTGGATTGCAGCCTCCATCCATTCAAGTAGACAGAAAAATCGCGTTCTGTAAACTTGAAGGAGATCTGTTCTGAAGACCCAGGCTCAAGAACTCTGGTCTTCTGAAATCCGCGGAGAATCAGCTTGGGCTCATCGGCTTCTGGAGGAAACCTTAGCTCTGATGCATGAGTGCATAGCAAGGAAAACACTATGATGCATGCAATGCATGAAGAATGCTCTCCACTGGATAATAATGTAATATTGAAAAGTACGGAAACAACAACATATGAGCAGAGGGACTCCAAATATCCCTGGACAACTTCAGCTCCACTTCTCCCTCCCACATTCTTCACAAGTACTTGAACACAAAGAAGAGATTCACAGTCTTGATCCTGAAGTGCTGGAGTAGCATATTGAAACTCTGTGTACGACAAACCATGTCCGAAGGGGTAAGTTGCAGCTTCACTGGCCGATGTTGATCTGTAGGAGGTATACAAGCCTTCGTTGTAGAAAATGTCAAACTCCTCTGATGGCTGAACAGTGTAGCTCTCATTCTTTGGAAGCATGATAGGGAGTTTGGCAGATGGGGATACGTCTCCAAAAATGATGGAAGCCCAGGCATGGCCAGTGAACTCCCCACCCAGAAACATAAGTGCTATAGCGTCAACATTGTCCTTCCATGGTAGCAAAATTGTGCCAGGAACCTGTGTCAGCACTATCACGGGCTTCTCCTGCTTGGCAAGTTCAAAAATGAGATCATCTGCTCCATTGTCCAAGTGCAAAGATGCACGGTCTCTACTTTCCTCTGCCGTCGTTGCCGCTAGAACAACAATGGCATCAGCATCTTTGATCCCATTCATTGCATCGGTGATGTTGTTGGTCAGTGCGCTCGAGATGTCAATGCCAAGACTATTGGCACGTTCATACATGCTCACAATGGGCAAGGTGAAAAGCTCAGGTGGGATGTAGCAGTGTCCAGAGCCACCACCGCTGTAGTAGTCTCCCATCATTCCAAGCTCATTGGTGCTGCGACTTGGTGCCACCCATGCCTCTCCTATCAGTGCCAGCTTTTTCACCTTTGAAGGAAGCAAAGGAAGCGCCTTTGTCTCCCCGGTCCTAGGCTCGTTTTTCAGCAATACCACAGATTCGGAGGCACAGCGCATTGCCAATTTCTCAGCTTCGAGACTGCGCTGATTTGAGAAAATTGGCTCCACGCAATCTAGGCCTGGCGTACAGCTGGGCAAGTCAAACAAATGCAATTTGTAGGCAGCTGAAAGAATCCGATAAGCTGGATCGTTGTAGATCTCTCGCTGGAGCTTGCTTTTCTCCAGCCCAAGTCCATACCCTGTAAAGTTACCAGCTTGGCTCTCCTCCATTGTGCGTAGATCGCCTTTGTATAAATATGTCTCGCCACCAGCTCCAGGCATTTCCATGTCCAAGCCTCGAACAACTGAACTATCTGCTGGATGGTGAAGTGCCCACCAGTCGGTCATGACGAAGCCGCGAAATCCCATCTTTTGTTTCAAATCGCGCCGTAAGAGCGCTTCGTTAGCACAGGAATGAGTTCCATTGACGCGGTTGTAGGAGCACATCACTGATGCAGCCCCCGCTGCCACACCAGCCTCGAAGGGAGGATAGTAGAGCTCCCAAGCTGTTTTTTCATCCACCACAGAGCTCTGAAAGTTCCGATTCGTCTCTTGCTCGTTGAAGCCAAAATGTTTTAAGCAAGCCATCACACCCTCTCCCTGGACAGTAACAGAGTCAGAGTGCATATTCAATGACTGTGCAAATCCGAGACCCCACAACATCAACAAATAGTTGCCTGGACACCCACCACATAGGCTTCTGACATCTTCGCTCCCAAATATGGATCCTCTCCTAGACTTGGACAAAGTTTCTCGGGCAATCCAACACAAAAGGTAACATTTAACGCGAAACAAACATTGCAGATTCTTGCAGGTAGGAATCCAGACATGTACTCGAAGTTTCGACCTTAGGAAGAAAAAGAGATAAACGTGCAAATGGGTGATACTGTGAGGCACCGGCCATTCCGAGCCACTCTTTGCACCTGTCGATGGACTCAGATGGACCAACCAGTGGATAGCACCAAGTCCGTATCCAAGCAAGTGGATCGTTTGGTGTAGGGCCAGTGAGATAAGTCGCTGCTTGTCAGGGCGTGCTTGTGGACGTGTTTTCATGAATTGATTAAGGCATAGTTGGCATAGTACTATTCACCGTATGGTTCTCTTTGTGGACCTATTTTCATAACTTGGTGTGGTGGATACATCCCTACAATGTTGTTCGCCACTTCTCCTCCATCTTCCACCCCTCCGGTGTGGGCGGTCTCCGCCGCGATGGAACGCCATTAAACGTCCATCCATACCCAGAATGACACTGCGCTGCGGGCCTGGACACTTGGGCCCAGAATAACATTCGCACCCTTTCCACGGTATTCACGGCCAATTGCACCTGCGACCTGTGATACACAGCACTTCCACAGGTTGCATTGGTTTTATTGAATTCTCTTCTTGTTTAACAGGCTGCCTCTTTCACCAAAGTCGTGTCCCACGTGGCTCCAAATGCCAATGAGCAGGGCCACATGATCTAGGCTCAGTTTTTTCATGCACATCAACTATTCATTGATGAACACAAAACAAATTTTGCCAAGTGGCAGTGGATCCAGATGCCCCTAGTGGTTCCGGCATATTCCGGAAACCATTCCCCGCATCGTGTAGTTTCAGAGGTGGCACACCCAGACGAGGAATCGGCGGTGTGTTGCCCATGTAGTATCCAACTTGGCAAGTTCACAGAATACTCTGCACAAACCTTTGAATTTCACACGCATGAAAACCTTTGAATTGTGCATTGACTCTGATGTTGTGGAATTCATATATAACTGGCAACAAGCTCCCCGGCTCTTGGGAATTGCTGGTAAAGGTGATGGCAACCAAGTTGGTAAGCCAATCCAGCCAATTCCCTGGGTATTGTCAACGGCTGCTGGTTTGAGACAACAAAGAAATGTATGTTTTGTGCAAAACACCAAGCTGACCTTCTGTGGAGCAAAGATTGATCACTGAGGCACACAGTTTAAGCAAGGCCAAAGACACTTGCATCAAGCTATACCGTTCTTCGTCACTCATGGCTAGCAAGGTCACTTCAGCGCGCTTCTCTGCCTCCTTCAGGAAAACTAATGAAACAAGGATGTCCCATATTGTTCAAGCATCTGTCCTCCCAAGAAAGAGGTGCAAGGGGTTCGCACAGCACACCAATCCTCTTTCGTTCAGCAGCAGCCTGCCCAAATCAGTTTCCGAAAACATCTAGGAACCGCTTCGACCATGCGAAGGTTTTCTGTGCATCTCTACTAGTAGCGCTTACCACCTCCCATTACTGCACGGCCTACCCCCCCCAAAGAGAGTGCCAAAGCCGGTGTACGGTTGATCTGCTCTGTCTCAGAGTCTTTACATTGCTTTGGGCCTTTGTGCCACGGGCCCATTTGTCAGTCTGTCCGGTCGCCTAACTTTGGAAATGTTTTTTTGAGAGTATTTGTACCGACAGAAGGCTAAGCTCAAGAATCTCTAGCCTTCAGCAACAAGCTCTCTTGAGCAGCACGCCATGTTCACTGTGTTTCATGAATTGTGTGAAGTCGGATTTTACCAACCTTAGCACATTTCAGTGGTCTACGGAACCACAGGTGCAGGGTACTCAGGTTCTCGCCCGCAGGGGCGCCTCTTGAGCTCAGACTTAGACGGAGCGTTAAAGGGGTGGCACGGACCGCCTAAGCCATGTTTTGATCCTCCTTGTTTGATCTCGTCTTTCCGCTTTCGCACGACGTTCGCAACCTACGCAACTTGGCGGTTTGACACATTGGTGCCGCGGAGCCTTGTACGCTCAGGGCCAGTTTTTCCTTTTGGTTTGTCCCCTCGAGGCTTCTCAGAGAGATGTCCAAAGATGCTGGTCAGGGATCCTCCTTCAATAGGGTTCCTAGTTGGGATGGCCGACCGGAAACCTTTTTTCACTACATCACAGAGATCAAATGGCATTTAGCTGGAACGAAATCCTCAGAAAGACCGTATGCAGCAGCAAGATTAGTTCGTCGCATCTTGGAGAGCGATTATCCTTCCCTCAAGTCCTTGGCCTACGAACTGGACCCAGCGGACTTCACTACAGAAGATGCTGTGACTCGTCTGATATCCTTTTTGGAGGCTTCGCCAATGAACCGGCAGCCAATTCCGGATGCTGGGCGGCAGTTGTCCGCCTACTACAGGCGACTCAGTAGGAAGCCACAGGGAACCATTCCTCAGTTTTTGGTTAGGGAAGAAACGCTGTATGACTCCATGTGGCGAGCCCTTCAAAGGTTGCTTCGGGAAAAGGAATTGGATTTCGACCAGTACGATTGCTCTCTAGATGAATTGAAAGATTTTTGTAGCATGGCGGACAAGAGTTTCTACGTCCCATTGGGCTTTTTCTCAGGGCTCCGGGAGCGGGAGCGGTAGCACTCACCCATCTCGTTTTGCTGGAAACCGTGAACCAAATGCAGAAGCAGAAGATGAAGACCTGCCACAGCCGCCGCTGTCCCGATCGCAGTCCGAATCTCACCACACTATGCCAATCGGTTCAAGTCCTCCGAAACCTTCCAAGCGCCTTGACTTGATTGAGAGGTTGATGCAGAAAGGCTTGATCCCACTCGCGGCCTTGGACATTGCTTTTGTTGGAGTGTGCGAGTGCCACTGAACTGGACAAGAGTCTGGTCAAAACAGCAACGCAAAACAAGCTCGGATACCAGAATATTCGATCAGCCTTGTTGTCACTCCATGAAGACCGTGGTATGTGAGGGATCAGCAATCCTCCCAAGGGTTTTGGACGGGGCAAAGGACATATGGCAAACATAGTTGAAGAGTTTGAGAGTGAGGACACGCAGTACCAAGACTATTGGGGCAGTAGTCATGACTATCCCGAGGGTGAACACCTTGAGGATGGTTACTATGGTGAAGAGTTTCAGGAGACCGCAGATGATCCTCAAGCTGAAGAGTCTGAGGAAGCTTTGCATGTGATTTCGCAGCTTCAAGAAGAAGAGAAAGAGCTGAATGCCATGATGGTTGATGCTCAGCGCAACTTGGAGCAAGCCAGACGTGCAGTTCAAGAAGCAAAGAAGGATCGTGGCTGGAAGAGCTCAGGTTCAAAGGGTTCTCCACCACACGGTTGCCAGAAAGGCACCAGCACGTTCATGCAGGGCAAGGGACATCGGACGCAGACCAATTTCTTTCAGCAGAAGGGGCATGGGTTTCATGGCAAGGGCGGCTACCACAACCGTCCTTTTGGTTCCTCTGGCTGGCGTCCGCCGCAACAGAATCGTTTTGCAGGGCGTCCAAGCTTTCAGAATAGGAATCAGATGTCTCAGAGACCTTCCTCTCATGCTGGGATATTCATGGAGCCCCAAGAGCATCACATGATGACCATGACGCCGGGATGCTCCAGTGAACAGAATTTTCACCAGACCTTTCCTTTTTCCCAGTGAGCCAAGCGGATTCACGTGCTGCCATCCAACCTGAAGAGGCTATCATCAATTCAGGTGCAACGGTGTCAGCCGGTGGCGAGACAGCTGTGAAGAACCTTCTTCACAGTTTGGCCCAATCGCGGCCGGACCTTAGCTTGACAGTCGTCACAGAAGATCGGCCATATTTCCGCTATGGATCGGGATCTTGGGGTCAGGCTAGTTACAAGGTGAAGCTCCATTTGGTTCCATTACCCTACAACTGTATGCACTTCCTTCACCGGGTGTTCCTGTTCTGTTGGGCATGAGAGAGATGCAACAACTATGTATGATTGTGAACCTCTCCAATGGTCATGCAGTTGTTTTGGACGAGATGAGACACCTCAGAATGACTCCTAAGAGACAAATTCTTTTCAGTTTCTTGAAGGACCTTCCCGTTCAGCGACAACAACATCCTGCGGCCAGAGCTCAGGAAGCCGATTTGAGGACAGACCGAACTCGTTCATCAGCGCGTGTGGCACAGCAGTCACAACAGATGATGACCCTTTTAGATTTTTTGTTTGAGCCCAATTTTGAAGATCAGCCATGTTTTGTGGTACAAGAATCACAACAGTCAGATGGCATTTTTGCGAACTCCATGTTTGAGCATTTGTGTGTTTCACCTGCGCAGTGGCAATTTTTGCAATCCAGTGCATCTTCAAGCTCAAAGCAAGTGACCTTCGATTTAAATCAGCCTACTGAATCTGTGACCCAACATGGCAAACACCGAAGAGTTGGAGAACAAGATTCAGGCGGCAGTGGAGCGCGCTTTGGCCTCAACTTCGGCGAAAGTGACGCCGAAGGCAAAAGCCAAGAAGGGGCCGAAGGGCGAGCTGGACCCAACTCGGACCATGGGAGTCCACACCCAAGATCCTCGTGCGAGCAAGGACTTTTGGCCATGCAAAAGACATCACGACCCCAAGCAGTACTCCAACCCCCACGCACCTTGGCTGGAATGTCAAAAATGTATAAAAATGTGCTCTTCGGATGCAGTACACTCCAATGAAGGGAGCGTCAGGTCAGAGCACTCACATGGACCTGCCTTCCAATGTCGTCCGGGCAATGGAGCACCTTCGCATGGAGGGAATCAAGGAGAACGATGTCGACTCACGCCTTGTGAAGAAGACAATTCGCTACATCGAGGGCCAAGAGCTCATCAAGGCCAAGAAGTCCGAGAAGACTCACCGCGACTTGGAGAAAAAGGAGAAAGAGAAGGGATATTCAGCAGCCAGCGCATCCGTTCCGACTCCGGAGATTCACAACTTGGCCAGCGAAGACGAGTCGTGGGAAGAGCCAACTCCCACAAAGAAGAAGGCCGAGAAGAAGACAGAATCACCTTAGAGAACTTGAATGAAGATTCATTTCTCCATCCCTTTGGCAATCACCCCGGTGAGAGCAATGAAGACATGCAGCACAACGAGCTCACACCGGATGCAGTTCTGAGAGATTTGACGGCTAGTTTGAAGTCTTCAGTTTTTAGCATTGAACAGCAGTTGAGATCGCTTCAAGAACAACGGTTTTGTTTGTGGGGGATGTGTTGTTCACCTCATTCGACTCCATCCAATGAAGTGATTCGCAATGGGTTGAAAGCTCACAGATGGACTATTGAAGCGGGTTTTGGCCTTGAGAAGTCAGAGTGCGTAGATGAAGCGATTAATGAACTGAAGAGGGATTGCCCGACAAAAATTGGAGCATCTTTGCGTTGCCCTCCTTGCACTTCGATACAACACATCAACCAACGGACACCACAACCAGTGAACAATTTGCGGAGAATGCGTTTGCGATCAAGAAAGCAACTTCGGCACATCTTGGAGATTTTTCGCCAAGCACTGCTCCAGGACCCCGGGACAGATTTCTACTTTGAGTGGCCGAAGAACGCAACGGAAGGCTGGAGACTTCGTGAATTGGAACAGTTTGAACAATGGTACAATGCAACTTTTTCCAAACCTCTCTACAGAACAGTGGTCCATGGATGTATGGTTGGTTTGTTGGCTGAAGAGGGCAATCACCTACACAAGCTGTGGCAGATTCTGACAAGTGACCTACACTTCCATATACATGCTGGAATTACATGTGACGGACAACATACACACAAGAGTATTTTGGGTTTGGGAACACACGCAGTTGCAAGAACATATTTTTACCCTGTGAAGTTTGCGAAAAGAATTGTTCAGGTTTGGAAGCACGAGCAATTCTCAGCATCAGAGCCCAAGATTTTACAATCATTTCACACGATGGACCAGGCTCAAGATCCACATCTACATCCTGACCGTGCACTTCAAGCTTTTCAGATTCTGGAAGATGCATATCCGGTTGAACGCAAACGTACACACACTGAAACGCAAGATGGGGAGATGGAGACAGATCAAGTAGCAGAAGACGAAACTATGGAACAAGACCCAACAGCCAAGTCTCCAACCTGATAATCTACCAAAGGTCGAGGAGCAGAATTCCATAGTCGAGACACAGCTTGACGTGCAGATTCTTCACGGAAAAGTTCACCTGCTCGAGCACGCATGGATTGAAATTCTTTGAAATGTCTGGGACCAAAAAGCTCATTCTTTCTCTCTAATTCATCGGGCTCATAACCATAGGCCCATTGCACCGGAG